GTGATAGTTTCATATATGGATTCATAATGTGCTATAATTCGAACAACTTAGATACAAGTGGGGTTGATATACTCTGGAAAAATGTTTGAAGATTAAAAGAAGCAGCTCTACTGAGGACAAATATATTGATTTGAGATGCTTGTGAAGAATTTGAATAAAATTTTTGAGTTATGAGGATGGAAAAAAGCAGTATTTCAAAATGAATATACTATTTCATATAATATGTGATTTTAAATATGTACATGTAACTAAATTAAAGCATTAAACATTTTGAAGTAGAATTTGACAATTTCAGCTGCAACCTTAAGGGTTTATGTATTCAAGTTGGCTAAAAACCTTGATTTTGAATCTTCTAAATGAGGAAAATGGAGACTACTTCAGATTTACATATAAACACACTTTTTATATGTATTTTACCTCATATACATATATGTTAATTTAAAATAATGAGAAAGTTATATACAGATATGGTCATTACACCATTTTAATAGTAGGAGAAATGTAGTAGCCCTCTAAATTCTCAATCATAAAAGAACTGATTAAGTAAACAGTAGTATGTTCCTAGACACAGTATTAATGTGGTTCACTAAAAATGCTAATTAGGAAAAGGATCTAATAACATAAAGAATTGATTACATAATGTTAAAAAAGATACAAATGTGTACATGGAGTATGATTACTTTTACAGAGTAATAATCTATACATTGAAGGAGAAAACTGGGAAGGAATATTCCAACATAATTGCTGCGTTGCTTTTTGATGGTGGTCCTGATTTTCTTTCAACATAAACTTCTGTCGGGAATTCTAGGGAGGAAAAAGAGCTCAGGTCATTGAGTTCTAACCCAACCGGATTGTAAACAACCTTCCCAGTGTAGGCATCCACCTGAACCTACTCTCTGACCAGGATATTTGTTTCCCTGCTGAATTGTTGTCAACTATTACAAAGCTATTCGCCCTATTGACATATATATGTACTTTTCCTCTTCGCCCCAATTCTGCGCTCTGCTGCATGCTTTTCTGCATGGGCAGGTTGATGTTCACTTTGTGCTCCAGCTGGTTCTCTTCTTGGAATATGGGAAGGGACATGCCTGCTCTGGGAGACTCCAGACTCTCCTTGAATGATCCACACTAAGCCTCCCAACGGAGAACAAACTTCCATCTTTCATTCTGGGCAGTATTCTGAAGTTTGAAAATTTCACCATGGTTGCCTTAGTCTTTAGCTTACAACTATTATCCCCATTAACATACAATGCTTCCTCCCTCCCACTCCAACGTGAGAAAAACCAAAGCCTCCATCTATTTTTTGTCACTCACTAAATTAGTATGAATTGGTTTCAGGTCATTTCTTGATAGCAAGTTTTGATGGGAATAGAATGAAAGCATATGAGGGATGTGATGGGGAGGAGGGCCCAAGGAAAAGGCACAGAAGGATGAGAATGGGGGAGTCATGGATGACCTACATTACAGTTTGCAGAGGGCTGCCAGGGGCAGTCTCCCTTAGCTATCACCAAGACTTTGGATTATTCTGGCCACAGCTAAGCACTTTTTTGGGGGGTGGTGGATTCTGTAGGATTCAAGGCTTCTGCACTTCTCAAATCTCGTATTTTCTTTCAGCAACCCTAAAAAAATACATATCCTAATACTGACCTTTATATTTTTGGGGAAAGATCAGGTTAATATCAATTCAAGTGATAAATACTCTTGAGTCAACAACAGTATATGTCTTTTGTTTTTTTCCTTGCACTTTGTCCCTGTCCTTCTTATTTTTCTCAGCTTTACTAAGTAGGCAGCACACAGTAGGGACCATTTTCTTGGTGTAAAAGAATAGTGAAATAAATATACAGACTTAGGGAAATCCAGGGTACAATCTCTTAAAGAGAGTGGCAGTACAAGGAAAAGATCTTGCAAGGCTTGGCACAAACTAGTAATGATATTCTGATCAGCAGAATCTCATTCCCATTGTCTTGCACGTGGACAGAGGAAAGGTCCTGCTGCTAATGGCTCTGAATACCTATACAGAGAGTGATCACCCCATGGGGGTCAGAGAGAGAGATCAGCAAGGTCAATGGTATAGGAAGGCATTATGTCAAAGTTTTGGATAGATTTGCAGGTTTTCCTTAAGTCCGTGTAAATTTGTAATGCCTACTTTCCAATGATTTCCTTAACTCTCAGCCTTCTTAAATCTTAGTAACCTCAATCTTCTTAATTCCCAACAGGAAGCATTAAATCCCTAAAGATGCTCAGGAGCAAGTCTCCCAGTCTCTTTTTGAGCAGGTGCTAGATGATTGATGGGATCATGAGTATGGGAATTTCTAAGAAGCTGATTCTCATGCCCTGACCTGGGTAGTTGGCGGTTGCAACTCACATCTGTTGTGAACTGGCCCAAAGCCAGCGGCTTTTGTTCTTTGAATTGGAAAGGAACTCAAAAGTGGGGTGTTAGGGGTACAGGGAACCACAGGATGTGGATGTTCTGGGTCTCCGATGCCTCATAAGGAAGATGGATCTGTTGGATTAAACAGCTGGTAGAAGACTGAGTCAGCAGCGGACACGAGCGGTTTCCCAGCACCAGGTCCCACCCATCCCACTGTTTTCCACCTCTCTCCCTTAGAACATGGGCTTGTCTAGGTTTATTAGCCAATCTGTATAGTCAGTTCTGACCATTGGGATCAGTGTGATGGTATAAACAATGCTGAACAAAGAGATCCTTCCTCCAGATGTGATGGAGACCAGATGGCTTGGGGTGTGGAAGCCAAAAAGCCACGGCAGAACCATCCTAACCCTTCCTGGCAAACAATCTATCCAGAGAGAAAGTCACTGTAGGAAGAAATTTTCTCTATTATTTTTTTCATTAAAATAGAGGTTAATGAATCTCAGTGCAAAATCATCTCCCCATCCCCTACAGTCAACCTGCACTGATTGTTAATTAGTGTATGTAGGATAGATCTTCAGTTTTCATCACTGAATTCTCTATGTACAGAAACAATGTACAGGAACTAGGAGAAATACATCCAAATGGAATATAAGGTGATTAGAGCCCTGCTTTATACATAGCCTTTGGAGTCTTTGCATTGGAGAGAGAGGAAGATTTTACTCTGGAGTCAGAATCACTTACGTTGAGCCTCCAGACTAACATCAGAGCATGTTGACTTTTTCCAGGTTTCTTTGGGTGGACTACATCTGCTGTAAATACACAGTAGAATGAGGTATGGGATTAGGAAGACAAATGCAGGCCAGAGAGTCGGAGATGTCTAAGGTGACAACGCTTCTTTCCTCCAATGAAGGCAAATGATCTGGATAGCTCCTATTACAGTCCACAGAACTGGTGCATTCAAGTCTTTGCCTTGGAGCTTCATAGGTTTCATATATCCTGTAGAATCTAAGATTTAGTTCTGAGCCTTTATAGGAATGATATGCAGAGAGCCCACAATTTTCCTTTCAATTTGTGTGGCAAATTATAGTGATGAAGTAGCTGGTCCTGGATTTAGGTAGAAACTGCCAAGTCTTTCTGAGTTAGGCACCTTCAAGAGTCATAATATCAATGGAGTTCAGGCTCAGTCCCCAAATGCTGCTCCAAGGACACATCTCTGAGAAAAATGCCTGCAAGTGGTGCAAGGTGGAGCTAACTTTCCAGAACTGCATGGCATGCATTGGGGAGGGGAAGGTAGGGCTGAGAAGCAAAAGAGGAATAGGAAGGGACATGGTTTGCATCATTTCCCTGTTGAGAGGCAAATGATCTGGGAACAATTATCGTGGGGGATGTAAGGCTTAGGGTGAGTGAGGCTAGAAGGAAAAACAGGGGTGGAAAGTTTGTAGAGCATCAACACTTTTGTAAATAGATTTCAAAGAAGAAAGTATGATGTTATAAAGAGGAAGCCCGAGGATCAAGCTTAGAAAAAGATATTTAAAAATTGATGCTGCAGAAGACATTAAGTGAATGATTGGTATGGAACAAGAACCCTGAGAGCATTTTTATGAGAGACTAATGTTGTATTTTCTCAAGGTAGTCCAAGCTTGAACTCTTTGCTCCCTGTAGCTGCCTGGGTTAACAGAGAAATGGGAGAGGAAATCTCTCCATAGAATTTCTGAAGAAATTCAAAAATTTAACTTGTACACTGACCTTCTGATGGAAATAAGGATGCACAGGAAAGCCCTTTGGGAGTTAGCTTTGGAAGGGAAATACTAGAAAATACAAATAAGCCCAGAGCATTTACAGAAAAAGAGAAAATTCCATGCATAGAGAATGGTCAGATTTAACCTAGTTTGGAACATATAATCTTCCCTCAGAATATTGGTAACAACATTTCAGTGAACTTGGGTCTGGATGCCTTGTGTTGAATAAAAATGGCAGCTGGTATTTTGTGTGAGTTCAATCAGGGAGACACAGGGGATAATTCTCTGTTTAGCAGAACCTCTTGGCTCAGAAACACATTGAGATGTCTTGTGTTTTTCAGGTCTATTGTTTGTGAATGCTGTTCAGGGCTGTTATTCTATCTGAGGGGCTTGCCTTTTTCACCACGTGTATGTATGATGTGGGACACCCTGTGTTGGAGACACGGATGACTTATTTGCAAGCCTTGCCTAAGACCTAATTAATATCAGTACCTCAAGTAGCTTAGATTGGATTCCATGGCTATGATATAGGAATATAGACTTCCTGGTCTTTTTCTTACTGTCTCAAAATAGAATCAGATAATCCTCTGTCTGGTTACTTGGGAACCAAGTTACTTTCTTGCAGAAACATTCTAAAGAGTTCCTTTAGAAAATCTAGGAAAGTGTAAGTCTTAAGACAAGCTATAGCCTGAAGCCCAGGCTGCTGACTTGAGCACAGATGGGAGAATGTTAACAGCCAAGAAATATGAGGTCTTTGGCTCCTTTCCCAGAACTGCCAGGCTAAGACCTTGGCAGAGACTCAACAGGAAACTGAACACTATTTGCATATCCTTTTATACATGGGAGATTAAAAGCTTCAACCTTGAGTGATCACAGTTTTTGAGAATCATGATGAGGCATTAAAGAGAAGGAGGAATGTCTCAAGGGAGGTGAGCTGGAGGCGAAGCAAGGTAGGTGTGAGGTTAGCAATGACTTTCAATCCCTTCTGATTAACCATGAGTGTATTTCATTTTGTTCTTTTTTAAAAATTTTATCCTTATGGGGTCACGTAAAGGAATTAGCTAGGCAGAAATCTGTGCTTCCTAATCTTGGGAATCTGTCAAATTTGATCTCTTTTGTCCGATGGCTTCTTCCTTCTCTCTCTTGCTGGGCAAGGACCTATAATTTGTTGTTGGTGGTGCTGAAAGGACCGTAGAGATCAAATATAAACTCTTTATTGTACAGATGAGAATCTGAGGCTTGAAGAGGTTAACTGACTTATCCAAAGTTATACGAAAAGAGGTAAGAATTCTGACTCCCATTTTTTTTTTTAACAGACTGCAAGCTCTTCTTAGCAGGTGGAAGTTTCCCCGGATCTCAGATAGCTTCTTTCCAGCATGGGATTTGGCACAGGTACCCTTCCCTATCTTCTCCCGTCAGAACATACATTTCTGGCGAGACAACAACTCTGGTTCCCTAGCTTTTCTTTCCAGTTCCCCCTGAATAAGTTCCCTATAGTTCTTTAATGGAAGAAGCCAGAGCCTGGAAATGGGGATAGGGGATATTTATCACTGGGATTCATTTAGGGGAACTGGGTTTTCTTGGCCAAGTACTATAGTGAAAACTAATCCCATGTAGACCGCATGGGCAGCATGATGATGGACAAATGTAATCCTTCACAGGTTAATTACCCCACTTTATAAGTTCCTTTGTAAGGGTGGGAAAAGATCTCTCAATACCTAAAAAGGTGCATTAAATGTACCCTAAGACTGGGGAGGCCCTGCAGGAGAATATCCTCAAAGATGGATAAGGCAAAGCTTTCTGAAGACTAAGAATTTAGTGACCGGACCTCTGCAAAAGAGGGAGCACTGATAAGAATTGTCAGACACAGACCTTGTACTACCTCAGAAATGATGACTCATGCATTTACCAGAAAGGACCAGTACAAGGAAGGTCAGCCCAGGCAGATACCCCAAGCTGGAGACTGGCTTTCACACCACACACAGAGGCTATCAGTCCTGGAGGCAACATGTGAGGGTAGAATCGTGGGCCCCCAATAGGAAATAGTTCTGCCCTCCTGGTATAGCTTCCTTTTACAGAGGAAAGCCTACTGCAGTCAGAAAAGACTCTGGGAAAGTACTGGGCCCACTTTTTTGCCCACAGATGTTATTTAAGAAATCGCTTTTGATAAGCTCCAGGGAACGGAGACTCCTGAGTTGTGTGGCACATACTTTTGGAGGCAGGTTTCCTGGGCTTGTGTCCAAGTTCAGCCACTCACCAGCAGTCTGACCTTGAGCAAAGCCTTAACCTCTCCTTGCTTAAGTGCCTTCATTTGTAAAATAAGGATAATAAGGGCAATGGGTTGTTGCGAAGATTAAACAAATTAAAACCTGTACACTACATTGAACAGTGACTTGCATATAGAAAAGTATCCCATGACTGTAGACCATCAATTATTATTACTGGTGCCTCGTTACAGTTGTTGGTGATTTTCATTTCAAGGAGATCCTCATTTTTAACTTCTTTTTGCTCAGAATGTTTTCGCTTTTTCTCAGCTCCTAGGAAATGAGGACAACCGATCATACAGCCATAGAGGGGAAGAACTGGAAGGGACCTCAGGCTGTACCATTTCCAGCTCCTTCACCTTCTAGAAGTGAGCCTGGGGAAGGAAAGAGATGGGGTCAAGTTCTTGAAGGGCAGAACCAGGTTTTGAACACAGGCTCCAGTCTAGCAGGTTTCTCTTCTGTTGTCTCTTCTGTGGTTCACATACCACAATTCAATACTGTTTAATTTTCCTAATACTTACTCGGGGTAACTCAGGAACATGGCAGGCCTGTGCCCCTTGGGGAGGCACTGACAAATGATGGGTATAACATTGTCATTCTCACAATCCCACAGCACCTCACTGGTTTTCTCTTTCTTAACAACAATTGTTGTATGGTTGGCTCTCATTTATTTTGGAAAAAAAAAAAGGAAGGGAATTTGTGTCTGAATGGAAGGCAGGCTCTGGCCATTGATTTATCAATTCCTCGGCAGAGAGGATCAGAGGTATTGCGTGGGGACAAAGGGCAGGGAGTAAGGAGCCAGGTCTCTAAGGAGTGGGGCTTACTTAGGTTGAGATGAGTGAGAGGGAGCCCAGGCTTTCTTCTTTATGCTGCACACTTGCTGTGCACTCAGTATGATGCTAGGCACCCATAGGAATGCAAAAGGACCCAGGGCAGGGTTTAAGATTTCAAGGAGTTTCTTTAGAAAGAGGTAGAAAGCAAAGGTAGAACTGTAGTCAAGCCCTTTGGGATTCTTTGATGGGTCTTTACTCCCACAATACCCAAGAGACTTCCTACTCTTCCGTCTGCAAGGGCACTATACAGGGCTCACCTTGGCTGGGAGGAGAAAGATTTTCCAGCTGACTGGAGGGGAGAATGGCACAGCAGGGATGTGGACTGGAAATACAGGGGTGGTAGGGTGCTTTCCTGTGGCAACCAGGGGTCAGAGTGTGGTGGAAGGAATATTGGACCCGGAGTTGGGATACCTGCACTCAGCTGGTTATGTGATGGTGGGAAAGTCACTTAATTTCTCCATTCCTCTGTTTCTACTTCTTCAACTGAAGAGGTTGAACCAAGAGGTAGGTAGAGTTTCGCACTGTTCTAACTGTGTGTGTGTGTGTGTTGCAGGGCCGGGGGTGGGGGGTGCGGGTAGTGGTAGGGTTATAGGGCTGAGGACATCCTTCACATGAACACTTGATGGTTTCTGGCTGTGAACTCAGAGATTGTCAAGTTGATTCTTCCTACAGAGGCGTATAATTGCTGTGCCACCACTCTGATTTCAATTTATAGTGCCAGTTACACTGGCCCCTTTGAGGTTCTTTGTGCCCTTATTTATAAACTCAGTGCATGAAAAAAAAAACCTTCTTTGTTTTTTTAGACGACTGAGACAGTTAATCCTGTATCAATCCCTCATGATGATAATAGGTCCTACACAAACGCAGTTAAGTCTTTATGCATGAGGAGCCTTCGATGTGACAGAACTTCTGACGGCGCAGACTTGGGCTGTGTTTCCTTGGTGTTGCCCCTGTGGGTGCTGATTTTCCTTCTCATTGCTTTTGAGTAATGTTTCTCACTTTTGTCAAGTGGCAAGTGAAGATGGAAACCAACTCCGGGGCCAATCCTGAGCCTTGTGGTCCCAGCAGACCCAGAAGCCCTGGAGGGTGAATCCTTAAAGCTTTGTGGGAAATTGTAAAGATACTCCAGCTTTCTCCACAATTACTCCAAATCCCCCAGGTTTACCTATGGCTGGCTTCCTGGAGATGAGGAAAGACTAAGAACCTCACTGAGATGAACACATGTTTTATTTAGCTTCTCTGTCTATTGGGACCGTTTTTTGGAAGGTGCATCAATCTGCAAGTGTAGATGAGGCTGCAGATCCTCTCCTGGGGATGCTGGCATAGGGTCCTCTTGGGTACCGTCGAGAGAACTGCATCATCAGATTTGTATACTTTCCTTTTACGATTGGGAGGAGGAACTCATCAACCCAAGGAATGTGGTCACATAAGTAGGGAGAGAAAACAAACAGCTCGACGTTCCATGTCCCATATTCCATTTACCAATAATCCAGTTCTGCCATTTTCCTTTTCTAAGTTTTCTAAGTTTGACCTTTTCAGGACTGCTTCCTCCCCACTTTGTGCTATTTAATGGAATTCCATCACTTGGTCTTGAAAAACGAAAGTCTGAACTGTTAGTGAGAAAACTAGCTCTCAGCAAGTAAGAAGGAAAGACTGTTGCTTATTCCCCCAGGCTACAGAAAAACTGGTACTATTACAGGTCACAAACCTGGACATGAAAATATCATTTCTAGCCAAAAAGTCTGGCAAATACTCAGACTCCAAATATTACCCTCCCGGCTCTCTCTAGGGCCTTTGTTGAAATGTGAGCTTCTCATTGCAGCCTTTCCTGACCACCTGATTTAAAGTAGCTAGCTACCCCCCAACCCCCTGGAAACACCCTCTCTTTCTTCCTGTGAGTCTTCTCCACGACAGCTGCTACCACCTAACATATCTCTTCTCTTCTTTTGTGTTTATTTTCACTGAAATAAACTCAAGAGCTTCTGAGTACTGTATTCCCAGTGTATCTAGATGAGTCCCTGGCACGTAGTAGGCACTTAATAAATTGTTATTGAAGAAATAGATGAATGTCATCACATTCTATGAAAGCAACTTCAGTCTCCAAAACTCTAGACTTTGCGTTGGTCTTCCTTCTTAATAATTTGTTACCCTAGTAATATATTTATACTGATATTTCTTTCTCCGAAAGTTATAAATACTCATGAGGCTTTGCCCTTAAGCCAGAAAAAGATAATTTAAACTTCCCTATTCTCCCACATGGATGCAGGTAAATAAAAAAGTATGGCCTTTAGATTTCTTATTTAAACACAGAGTTTGAGAAGCTGCCGTGTTGTTGAAATTAGTGCAAGCAATTGCGTTTTGGCTTGATTTCCTTTGTCCTGTCACCAGATCCTTTTCCTCTTGAGTCCCGCATGCTGGGTGGCACTTGCTCCCCCCGGCTGACTACTGCCTTGGGAGACCCTGAACATCCGGAGAATTCCTTCAGGAGTTGATAGGCACTAATGTGCACCATTCACAATGTATGTGTTTGCGTATGTGCGAATTGCTAAAAAAATAAGACCCCCGGGGATTCTGCATTCTTGCAGAATACCAAAATCATTTGGTGGGTAGTGGTTGAGGTGGAGGTAGGGGTACAGGGAGTTAGGAATTGCTCTTTTGTTTGGGAAAATTTGTTACTGTGGCTTTTGGTTACAAAATGGTGTGCCCCTGCAGGTCCGTTTGGAGAGAAAGTTTACAAAATTCCTTTGTGAAATAAAGTAGAAATGTTCAGTGTTTACCCGTTCAAGACTCAAGGCCTGTGGCCTTAGGATTAAAAGGGAAAAAAAGGTGGAAAGCCGGCCATTCTCTCCATTTATCCCTCTCATGGGGGATGTTCAAGGAACAGAGGAGCGTTAATGTCTACTCTCCAAAACTAAGTTATTTGGTGTTCCAGAAGACTCTATTATCAACCCCTCAGAAAATCTTGTTACAGTTTATAGCACTTTGTTAGTGGACAGAGGAGGCTGGGAGAAAGCATGTCAGGAAGCAGAGTTAGGAACAGGCCTGTGCACGATTATACCCCTAGCATCCAGCACAGCACATAGCACCCACTCACTAAATCACTCACTCACTCACTCGCTTACTCTGCATTTATTGAGTATCTCTTTTGTGCCAGACCTACTCTAAGTGCTGGAGTGAAGGCATTGAACAAAACAGACAACATCCCTGCCACCATGGAGCTTACATTCCAGTGGAGAGCGAAATTAGAAATAAATAAGCAAGTAAAATACACAGCCCCTCAAATGGTGATAAACGCTGCTGAGAACACGTAAGCAGGGAGGAGAGGTGGTCTTTGCAGGAGGAATGAATGAAGTGCTCTGACAAAAAAAATTACAGGTGTATAATCCTCCCACTTCCACTCATATTTGGGGGCAGTACGTTGAAAGGAAGAGTAGGCAAGAAGCCTCGAGTCTGGAGTCTCTTCAGTTTGCAGGCACGGAAGAGGAAGAGTTATCAGCCAAGAGATGCCACAGCAGGCTAAGACCCTACCTAAAGCCTGAATTCACTCAAGTACTTTCTGGTGTCAGTTTGCTCATTTTGAATGCAGAGAACCGGAAATGACAGATCTTGAGCCCTTTTGCTCTCTTCCTATGATGGATAATAAGTCAATAAAAATGGAAGAGACAAACTCATACTTTGCCACGCAGTAGAGATATCTGTGGATGGTAAATTTAGCCGTCCTGTGGATCTGCCAGAGACCCATAGAATTTCTCAGGTTCTCTTCACATTAGCCCCAGACCCCTGTAGCTGCCATTCCAGGCAGGCCTCCCGAGAAGGAAAGGAGAAGGCAGTGAGTACTTTAGCACCCCAGAAACTCTAAGAGAGTCCAACAAGATATTACATTTGACAAACATCAGAGGGGAGGAATAAATATGTGGGTTAATTTCCTGTGTTGTGGCCTGGGAGAAAAGCTGCTGACCTAGGGGTGGGGCTCAGGAGCACAAGTGTTATCTCCCCGGGATAGTAGCTGTCTTCCTTCAGCTGGGCGGGGGTGGGGAGGAAGAGGTGCGAGGTATCTCAGGAGCTGAAGCTGGAAGCTGGAATTCAGCTGGAAGCTGAAATTGCAACTGGTGTTTTAAAGCAAGGGAGGGAGAGATGGGAGGTGGAAGGAGTTAGATACCCCCGCCCCCACCCCCTCTTCTGGGGATTGGACAAGAAGTCAGAAACAACGTCTGTAGCACCAGATGACTGGACATCACACACCTGTTCCCAGCCACTCTTCAACTCAGATATTGTTATAGGTGATGCATTTCCTCAGTAGATCCTCCAGCCCCTAGCCCAGTGCCAGCACCGTCAGCCTTCAACTCAGACCCAGATCCTGGCTCTGCTTCTGTGACCTTACTTAGGTCAGTCCCCCGGGCTCTCTGAGGTTCAGTCTCTGTAAAACACAACTGACAGTAATGACCTCATGGGATCGGCAGAAGGATCAAGTCCACACCTGAAAAGTGGCTGCATGTTGTTGGCCCTCAGTAATTGAA